ATGCAAAGTTCTCAGGCCCAGTATGCTACCTGGTGTGATAATGGGCTCCTCTTTCCATGTTCACATTCCAAGTTTACTGATTTGTGATTTATTATGTTGAAACTCCTCAGATCCAGTTATCTTACTGTGTAAAAGCTACACCACAGAATTGGATGTATCAAGCGGAATATAACGTGGTTGTATGGCATTTGGAGTATATTTATAAGAACTTATCTATATGACCAACTCCCAGTATAAAACAGTTCTGAAGGCCAAATTATGCCCATCAACCGTACATACCATTTATGTGCCCAGTTAATCCTGATTCTGACTTACTTTTTTAAAAGGCTCTGCTTTACTTTTCTACAAGTACATTTGTTGTCCCTTTACCACCTCTATTCTTATATTTCTGATTGTATGTATTCTTTTCGTATTTGGAGTGAGGTCACTCTGGGGCCTAATTCATAATGTCCTTTGACAGCAGCAGGGGAGGTCATTGGGTAGCTACGTGCTTGGGATTCCTGGAGCTCCAAGGAGGGAGTAAATTAAGAGTTTGGAAACAGGTTTTTTTCTAGGCCTTGATCCTCAGATGCAGAAGAATGGAAGACAGTATCAGTCTCTGAGGATTTGGGGTAAGATGGATGGGGTCAGACAGCTCAGAATCCAGGAACACAGCTCTGTCCTGGGTTCTGTTCATATTCCACCCACCTCCTTCCCATTTTTTTCCCCTAATCTACTGGGGTGGGGGTTATACAGCATCACATTAGGACTTTTCCGTACTGTTATACTATTAATGACTTGTTAAAAATGGAATTGAGTTGATAAACCTGTATAGTTTGCTTAATCATTTTCTTAGTGTAGGTCATTTAGGTTGCTTACCAATTTTGCTTTTGTAAATACAGTTGTAAAAAGTCTTTGCCTATAAAAAACGTCTTTTTCCACATTTGGGGTAACACTGCACAAACGAATTCCTAACATTTTCAGGCTTTTGACGCGTTTGCCAAATAATTTCCCAAACAGGCTCTATTTTCTAAAGGGCAGTGTCCCAAAGTACATTTGTTCTTTGTTCCTTTGCCAGCACTGAGTATTATAACTTTTTAAAACCTTTGCTAACTCAATAGTTGAAAAATGATCTTCCTGCTTTGATATATATTTCTTTGAGTGTTCTTCGAGAGAAGCACGCTCGGCTCCTGTGCTTGTTAACCTCTTATTTCTTCTTGTCCTGTGCTTTGCTCAGCTCTGGACTGTTCTTCCCCTCATAACTTCTACTTGCAGAAGGAGGTTAGTGAATGTTGAATTCATTGTTGGGATTGGGAAACATTTCAGAAGGCACATGGAAGACCCGCTAACACACTCGTTCACTATGGTTTGCAAAACAAAGATTAGGCATCTGTGTTCATTCATTTATTCAACAAATAGGTCTTATGGGTCTTCCATGTGCCAGGTATTGTTATAGGCACAGTGAAAAATAATAGACAAAAATCCTTATAGAGTGTACATTCTAGAGAGGAGAGGAAGCAAGTTGGTATCAAGTGTAATTTTGTACATGGGAAGGTGGAAGTGCTGGGAAGAGGAGAGCTAGGTGAGAGGGACTGAGCACATGGGGAGGGTGGGCAGCAATTCTAAATAGAGTGGTTGGGGTAGACCTTATGGAGAGGTGACAAATGAGCAGACTTGAGAGGTGAGACAGTGCACCAAGGACAGTCTGGGGGAGGTCGCCTCTGGCAGAGCCATGGCCAAGGCCAAGGTTCTGAGGCAGGAAGACGCCTGGTGTGTTCCAGAACAGCAGGGAAGCCAGGGTAGCTAAAATGGAGCAAGTGACGGTGGAGGATTAGAAGTTGAAGTCCTAGAAGTTAGGGTGGATCTTGTAGCGCCTGTGGGGCCATGGTAAGGATCGGGGCCTTCTTCAGAGTGAAATGCAAGGCTCTAGGAGGTTTTGACCAGAGGAGTGACAAGTTCTGTCTCGTGCTGCGTTGCAAACAGACTTATCAAGGGCAGATGCAGGCAGACCAGTTAGGAGACTTGCAAGTACCCAGAAGCCACACTTGGCAACGAGGGTGGTGAGATGACCTCTGCTTTTGGTAGAGTCAAGGGAATTCCCTGATGGAATGAATTTGACATGTGAAAAAGGTGGAGTCAAGGACTTCTATTTCTTTTTAAGACTTCATTGGTTACGTGTGCACAATAGATCCTTAATGAATGTTTCTGAACATTTTGAGTTAAAATCAGAAACAGAAGTGCTCACGGAGAGAGCGCCAAGTAGTAAGGCCAAGAAAAAATCTATTCCTGCCATGAGAACTCAGAAGGGCTGTGGTTATATCCATTAGAGTGAGATGACAAATAGAAATGATTACAAGATTGTGGCATTTGGTCCATCCTTTTATTCTCTTTACATATTCCGGTTTAATGTTTAATGTTACTTAACTGGCAACCACTTACGGTTCTTACATAGGGTTTATGCCTGACATCGTTTGAACTCAACGACACATGCAATGATGGAATCTAGGGGTCACACTGTGTTTGGGTTGTTAGGCATCCTGAGAGTGGATAACAAAATGAAGACAGAAAGAAATCAAATGAGTTATTTTGTGTACATGTAGGTCGTTTTGTTATTCAAGATGTGTTAAGTTATGAATGATGGATATATACAGTGTTAGTCATTATTTTTAAATGAAGGGGTTTAACATAGTTTATGTATTCTGTTTTCTTTTCTAATATATATATATACACATACATATATAATAATGTGTATGTATATATATTATGTGTGTGTGTGTTTGTATAAACCAGGGTCTTGTAGACCCCACTGCAGACTAAAACGTGACTGCTCTGTGAGTTCACAATGAAGATGCTGGTAGAGTATCTCTGTAGTAGCTTCTCTTTTATGAAAGTTTGGAAATCACACTGCCTCTCTTCTGGTGTTCTTAGTGATTTCCACCTAGCTGTGAGGATGGGTGGAAGAAGAAGGTAATGTGTGGGGCTGAGGGCAGCCCCCCTGGCTATAGTCATTCCAGTGGTGCGGCACTGAGGCCAAGGGAATAAACGTGCCACCCTGGGAGGAGGTACAAGGCCGGCCCCTTGCCGTGTAAACCCAGGCAGGTCTTTTAACACTTAAGTGTCAGTCTATCTATTTGTAAAAAGGAAATCATTTGTATTGCCCTACCTATTTCTTAAAATAGTTGTGAGGCTCAAAGTAGAACTGATATGACAGAAAATTGCTTTGCAAACACCAAAGCATGGTACAAATATAAGCCTCTATTATTGATTTGGCTACAGGGTACATTATTCATATATATTAAATAGATTATACCTAAAGATATACACACATTCTTTCATCATCCTGAAATATGTATTAAGTTTTCTGGATAGAAATAGTTCATTACTTTGTGATTATACTTATCCCTCTCTGTGGACTTGTTCACTATAAAGCTCATAATGGGATTTAATCTTTAACCTATATGTTTATGTGGAGATGTGCATGTGTGGTGTGTGTGTGTGTGTGTGTGTGTGTGTGTGTGTGTATGATGTTAATAGTAGAAGGGTGGGGAAAGAAATGTGGACAAGGCCTTACAGAAAGTGGGTGGGACTTAACATGACCTAGTCCAATTTCCGCATTTTAAATTGAGGCTAGAATCCATAATGGTATGCAATTGATTGCCAAGATTGCATAGCTTGTTAGAGCACAGCCAGTATAGGAAACCAGGTGGACAGAGTCCCAGGCCTGTATCCTTTCTACCTTCATTTTGCTTCTACCATGTATCACACAGTTTTTTCTATACCTGTTTGCATAGAGTTATGCCAGCTGTGTGTGATTACAGAGCAGTCCTGCACCAAGGGGGTCTCTGTCCTCAAACAAGAAGTGCCCACAGTCTCACATAAAGCTTTGTAGCTAAAAAAAGGAGAGGAAGCAGAGGACATGGAGTTTCAGAGACATAGGTAAGCCAGAATTGCTTTTCTCCTTAATATTAATTAACCTCTTCTGCTGTTCAATTTTTTTTTCCAGATCTGAAATCTTATTACAATATATGACTGACCTGACACTGTCTCCCCTTTTGAAGAAGCACTTCTGAAAGTTCCACCGAACACCTGCCATTGTGTCTCCCATGCTCTCTTGCGCTTCAGGATTCCAGGGAAGGTGGGTTTGCTTCTCAGTTTTCTTTTTTAGTTAGGGCTGTCTTATTAAGGGTGAGTGGGAGGCTGGCTGTTGTGAGGACAACAATCTCTCTGCCACCATGTGTCTTTCTTGCCACTGACAGAAGCAACCTCTCCCCTCACTTTTCGGCTCCATCATATCCTGTGGTTTATTTTTCTTCCTGGGATTTACCACTGCCTGAATGCAGCCCCTCTATTTCCCTGTGCGCTTATTCATTGACTTTCTCTTCGTGAGCTTCCTGAGAGCAGGCCGCTGGACTGTGCTGTCCGTCAGTGTACCTCGAGTGTTTAGCATTCAAATATTATTGGAAGACTAGAAAGAATTGTGGGGTCAATGAGTTGAACATTTATAAGGCTTCCCTGTTATCAAATCACTTCCCCCAAATGTCAGAATTCAGTCTCATCAGCAGGGTCTGTGGGGATCCCTTCCCATGCAGCCTCTCTGAACCTAGGTTTTAAAACTTAGTAAACAGCTCTTGGTAATATAATCGGCAAAAATTTTTGAGAAATAATTCTTATTCTTATTTTAATTTGCCTTTCTTTGTTGCAGTATATTTTAGACAGATTGTTATTCAGACTAAGACTTTTTTGTTTGATTGTGGTAACAAACAGGGGCCAACTTTAGTGGTCAAGAAAATTTGGTTAATCTCCCCTGAGAATGCTGGGTAAACTAAAGATTTCTATCTCTCTTGGTCATGAAAATCAACCATGTATGAAAGCACTTTAAGAAGTATAAACAAGTTGTGCAATCATAATGATCCATTGTACTTGGATGGGAGTATAGAGGACAATGATGGTTTTACTCAAATAGCAAATTTAAAACATTGCCAAGATACCCAGTTATATTTGGTGAGGCATTCATTGGTGGTGGTCAGAACTACCAGAACTACCAGTATGGACAGAAAGGAAAAAATTGATTGCCTTTGTTCCCAATCCCTTTTCACCCACAGAGCGGTCATAATGAATACCCACAAGAACTCATTGCTCATAAGGACCAATTAACCCACTTAACTAGCGCATTTTATTTGTGCAAATTGCACCCAGAAAGAGAACACTTAGTATCTGAAAGGATGTGGCTCCAGTCTCACGTGTATAGGTCCCGTTTAAATGCTTTTTTAAAACTAGGGCTCCGTGAACTACTTTTCTAACTGGAGGCTGATTTCATTTTAAGCCTCTCTTCTTCAGACCTTGTGTGACAGGCTTCGCAGGGACACTGTGGCAGGGGTCAGGGAGTGGGGAGAAACCCTTCAAGGACATTGCTATCTGCCTTGTCCCTCTGCAGCTCTTCGGGACTGCTAGGTGGCCGGACTCAGTCTTCTCTCCACTCAGTTTTTTTGGGTGTTTTGGTCTGTTGATTTTCCAGTGTCTGTAACCCAAAGCAACATATCTTTTTGGCATGTTTGGAAAGAAGCTGTTGCTGAGATTATTGGACTCAAGAGGGAAAGTTCTATGTTTACACAGTACAGTACAGGGCATTATTCAAAGCCGAAGATGGCACGGTTATAGACATCCGCTAGGTCAGTTTTTCCCAACCATTTTAATAAAACTAACGATAACCAGTCAACTTGACACAGTCATTTCTCAAAGGAGCTTTGGTTTGATAAATCATTTTCTTTTCTAGGGTTTATAGTCTAGCTATTAACATCTGGAAGGAGAATGCACACCCATCATAAAATGCATAACCTTTAAGCTCCCTCTGGAACTCAATATAATTAAAAGCAGAAAACATTTGTTAGGTTTCTGGTAATGCTGGCCCTATCTGAGGAGCTTTGGGGGACACCCAAGAAGTATGAGTCCTGTAAATGATGTCCTAATTATGTAAAGGAATAAAAAACCTTTTCTAACTTCTCATTCCCAATGCATTCATCTAAGAAATGATAGGGCAGTATAATAGACACCTTCAAGTGGTCCCTCACTCTGCAAGAAGCAATGGAAAATGTTCCCATGTGATTCATTGTCTGGCTGACACCTTCCTGTCAAGTGTTCAAACTCTGACACATTTATGACACTTATTGTTTGTGAGCTCCACCAGGGCCACGTAATTCAACTTTGGATGTAGTGGTATCTGGAGAATGAGAGAGAGACACAATTCCCCTGAGAGGTGTGAAATATGGCATATAATGGATTTTGAATTTCTCTGTGGGTCTTTACTTAGCATTTGCCTTTGTTCAGGGTCAGCTATTCCCGGTTTTGCCTCCTAGCCCTATGGGATTGCTGTGATAAAGCTTATTCTCACACCACATTGACCCTGCTCTCCAAAATCTTGTAGGTTTAAACACACACACACACAGAGCTTTATTGATATGTAATTCATATACCATACACTTCACTCATTTAAGGTGTAGATTCACAGATTTGAGCAACCATCACCACAGTTATTTTAGAACATTTTCATGACCTCAGGAGGAAATCTGATATCCTTCAGCTCTCACCTCCATTCCCCATCCCCAGCAGCCCTACACGACCTCTTTCTCCTTCTCCAGTCTCTGAAGCCCTCACAAATCAGCACTTGGACATAAATTTCTACTCTATCCCGTCAGTTTTCCCCCAGATCTTGATGAGCGCTCTCCCCTTCAGCTGGAGCCCGGGCGCCAGGGAGCAGAACGACCCAGGGACCAGAGAAGCACAGAGAGAAGCTGAGGGGTGGGGCTGGCCCGGGGGCTTCAGGGAAACTGAAATCTTGAGCTTCAGCCTTCAGTCTTCAATGGCCATCAAACTGCCGCAGGGGCTTTATCTTTTTGCTTCTTCTGAAGTTCAAAAACATTTTGTTGTCTAGCTCTTCACTGTACCTTCGCTCTTTGGTTCCCTTTAATTTACACCCACCTTCTATCCCGCTCACCTTCAGGATTTTTCATCTGTATGCACCACATCCATCAGGGAACAGACGTGTCATCCTTCTCAGGGCTTTCGTTGTCAGTCAGTTTGAATATTGGTTGTCTTCACAGTCATAAACTTTATCCCAGCTTTGTCCTTGGTTTGGAAAGAACAAGTGAATCAACATTATTTACCTTTGCCCAAGCCTCTACCTAACCCACCTTATAGTACCATTAATCTGTCAAATCTTCCCAAAGATGCAAGGCACTGTATATTATCTAACTGAGACTTCTTCTCTGTGGGAGGGTACTGTCCACTCTCTTAGGAAAATATCTCTGCTCACCGTCCTGAATACCCTGAATGGGGGAAAGCATGAGAGAAGGTATATGTAGGGATGTTTAGGTGGGGAGGAGGGTCATGCGCATGCATGGTAGAAATCAGTGAAACCAGTCATTTATAAAGTAACAAGTAGAACAGTTTTCAGGATTTTCTTTTGGTTTTCCGGTTCAATTTTTATATAAAAAATTACAAGCTTTTAACCATGCCATATTCAGCTTTTGTTTTGAAGACACACGATATCAAGTTGTTGACAATGTCACTAACTAATTATATTCTTCTGGTGTGACAAATGTGTGGTATTAGAAAGCCTCTTATTTCTTAAATAGGCTTAAGCATACTTCAACTATTCTCCCTTGGATGCAATCAGAACTATAAAGATGGGCATGAAACTAGATCTAATCTGGTAAAACTTTTGTTGTAGGGTTTTTTGCTTATTAATAATTCACTGCATGAAAGATTCAAGTCCTATAGTATCTTATAAAATTTCATGATTCAGTAAACACTGTACTCTATTTTTATAGGACTCACATGTAATATGGGTACTGCCCATAATATTCCCCTCCCTCCTTTTTAATTCCTGAAGCTTTAATAGAGGGCATAGTCTTCCTGGTTTATTTCAGTGCTTCTGAGGGAGAATCAGCATTTCCTTGTAGTTCTTGTTCCTCAGAGCCCTAAGAGCGAAGTTTTCTCCTCCAACACCAAAGGAGGTAACACAAGAGCGGCAGAGGGTGCCATTCATCTGGTCCTGGCGGAGTTAGTAAGTTTCCCAGGAAGCCCATTTTTCTTTTCCTAAATCATATCTGAGCCAAAGGCCCTATAAGGGAAAGATTCCCTGCTCCGTGATGAAATGCCATCACATGACATTCTTCCTAATGAGTCACAGTCAATAAAAATTGTTTTCCAAATGAATCTGACTGTGCCTCTACACGGAGGTACAAGAAGGAAAAATCTTTGTCATATCAAAACATCATGCTTCATCAGCTAAGCTCAGACAGACCTTTCACTTTTGTAAGCAAAGTGAAATGCATTTCCATGCAAAGTGAAAATCCAATCCATCCTTATTTTTCCTTAGATACACGTTATATAGTGTGAAGGAATGAGGGAGGCACATATTGGGAAATGTTTTTAGGGTTTGGGACCTGAAAAGCAGCTACTGAGGAGTTTGTACTACAATAATGAACTGTCGTCTAAAGGTATTTTGAACTCCTAAGAGCTTCCATATAAATATTAGGTGGTGGGATTTGTTGATTCAGGTTGGTTGAACCTGGTCTTAACTTGGAATAGCACCGACCCCACTATTAGGAGATTGGGAATTTATTAGCAGCTCATTTCTGTTGTGTTGTTACTAAAGAGACTTGGAGTGGGCTTACTGAACCCACAAATGATCCCCAAAGTGTGCACTTACCAGCCATGAGCAGGTTAACCCTTCAGGCTTGGGGAAATGGAAATGAAGAGACAATGGACCAATCGTCCATGCATTAATTATCATTACCATGAAAAGGAAAAGAGAAAATTTGAAAGAGGACATGCAAGCAAGTCATGTGACACACATTGCAGGATGCCATGGAGCAGGTATCAATTTCAGGGCTGGCATCCCTAACATTCCCTTAGGGGGACAACACACAACCCGGAGGGTCAACTAGAAATCAGAGCAAACCCAAGTCAGAATGGGATGAAGGATTTAAGTATGTCCAAGGCTCCAAGGTGTAAGTGACACTGTAGACAAGTGAGGCCTTGAATTTGACCTTCTCCCAAGCACCCCCATAGAGTTACCCAGTAAGGAAAAGACGCGGGGTGAGGAACCAGGAGTCTAAGTTATCCAAGAGTTTTTGGTAACACCGTGCGCTTCTCTTTCTATGGGAGAAACAAAGTTATATACAGGGGAGCATAACTAGAATGGCAGAAAAGCCTGTTAAGTGAGAAATGGCTGGAAAACCTTAGCAAGGAAAAGAGAACCCTGACTGAGGCCGTGGGCTGCCAGGCACGTCAGGAGGAGGAGGGAAGGTGTGTTCTCCTGTAAGGCACCAGAAGGCAGGACTGGGGCCAGAGCAGAGCCAACCAGCATTTCGAAGGGGCTATCATGGGGAGGTAATGATGATGCAGAGGATGGAGATTCATCAAAAGGCTACCCCGGTGGGGTGTGGGGAGGTGGGTACTGAACCAGGGGTGGGAAGACAGGAGAGCTGCAGGGAAAGACTCAAAAGATCTCCCTGGTCCGGGTCTCCCCCTTCTAACCCCGCCCCCAAACACTCCAGTGTTAGCAATCTTTGGAGCACACTGAGTTGCTGATCAGAACCTTTAAATGGCTACCCATTACCTACTGAATCGTGTTCAAACTCCTTTTCCTGGTATGCAGGGCTCTCGGTAATGTGGCTTGAAACTCCTTTTCCAGCTATGTCACGAGATCAATCACCTCTCTATACCAACAGCTCTAGTATGTTGTGCATTTCCCTGCTCGTGTGCCATTCATCTCTTAATACCTTCCTTCCGCACTCACTTGCCTGCCTGTTGAAAAACCTTTAGGGCCCAGCGAAAATGCCATCTTTTTCTCCAAGCCTACCTCACCCAACCCTTCCTCAGGCTGACTGAATCCCCGACTTCTTCCTGTGTTCACGTAATATTCTGGTGGTCTTTCTGACACCGACCCAGACTGTCTTCTTTTCTAATACTGTGTATTTATTTAGCACTTTGCAGCTAAGAAAGCACTTTGGAGTATTATCAGACACAGGTACCATCTGCCTGGGAAGTTTTTAATCCTACCCTGCAGATAACTCAGGCTCTAAGTTTTTAAATGATTTGCCCAAAGTCACAGAGCTAATATTTGGTAGCGCTGGAATTCAAATGCAGATTTTCTGACCCTAAATCGGAAACTTACTTCCCTCCTAGGATTGGTGAAGTTTAGTTCTTTTTAAAAAAAGGTCTGTTAAGTATGAGAGCAGTATTCTAATTCTAAAGTGTTACCTAGATGAAAGAAGGGATTTACCCATCCGACTGCAACTGCCGTCTTCTAGGAGTCGGACTCTTGGCCAGCTTCATCTTTGCATATAAATGCACATTCTCAGGCCCACCCCAGACTTGCTGACTCAGTGACTCCAGCCGTCTTTGCTCTGACAAGCCCTCCAGGTATTGTGACTCTCACTCAAGTCTAAGAATCAGGGCTGAAGAAAGGATTATCCTTTTTGTGTGTGTGGGACTCCTGTTCTCCACAGACTATAGGGGCATTATTGGATCATAGCAAGTATACAAAACTCAGTTCTCAAAGGAGAGAGGATGGCTGATAGTGCTGAGTGGGCAAAGATTTTATCGGGAGAATAAAAAAATTTAAAGACTAAACTGGCAAGATTATGAGTGCTAAAGGGTGTTGTCTTATTACCTGGGAGGCAGGTGTCAAGAGGAGCTTTAAGTGGAGGAGGTAAGACAGGACTTTGAAAGGGAAATTCTTCATGGGTGTCAGAAAAACCCATGGGAAGGGAAGAAAGGATTTATTACAGAATTTTAATTGGGGAAGAAGTGACATAAATTTTTTTGAAAACCGCTGACAACAGGCCTTTGGTAAAAGGTGGAACAATCCAAGAAGATCAAGTGTAGAGAGCAGGTAATGAAGGACTGAAGAGCAAGGTTAACCCTTAGTCTGGAGAATAGACTCAGGCATTTGAGTTCCTGTGACCATTTTATTTTGGAAACACTGGTGTGAGTTAGCTGTAGACTATTTTTATGTTCCCTGAACAGTGCATTGCTCTAAAGAGGAAAAGAGCTGTAAAAGGTGCTCCGTTTCTTTAAGCTGTTTTGAATAATGCAAAAAGTTGGTTGTTACTCTGAAGTACGTACGGAATTAGCCTGCTGAAAAGAGGAAGCTGATAAAGTTCAAATGACTGAATAACCCCAGTAGTCTGCCCCTGGACCACATGCCTCCGGGAGCCTGCTGGGGTGAAGTTTCAGGACTGACAGTGGCTTTGGTCTCCACCCATTCGTACACGTCCTGGAAGTCCGGCAGCCCCGCCCTGCCCTTAGGTGTCCCTGGGCTCCTGGTTTCCTAGTCAGCCTTGCTGTCACCTTATTTCAGAACCTGAGTGGCCCATCACCAGTGTGGAACTCAGCCTCTTCTTGTTCATCTCCCCCTCCCCAAAGCACTCGGGTAGGGAACAAGCGGTGACACTGTGATTTGTAATCAGAAACGTGTATTTAGTATCCTTCCCCTGGTTCTGGCACAGCTCCTAAAACCTTTGGAATTTCTTAAGAGGTGAGAATGATAAAGCTATCTTTGTCCTTCAAACCAGGCCCCTCACAGCCATGCCTGGGTTTGTGTTAATGAGGTGACTTTTGGGACAGCCCTTAAGGATGGAGGCTGGTGGCCTGAGAGCCAACCCTGTGATTAGGGGTTAGGATTTCAGTCCCATGCCCTGACCTCTGGGAACAGGGGAGGGGCTAAAGATTGAGGTCAGTTGCCAATGATTTAATCAACCTTGGCTACAGAATGAAGCCTCCGTAAAAACTCAAACTGGGTTTGGACAGCTTACAGATTGATGAACTTGAGGTGTTAAGGTGGGTGCCCTCTGCCAAGGGCATGGAAGCTCTGAGCCCTTTCCCCGTACCTTGCCCCTTTTGTCTCTTCTATCTGGCTGTTCCACAATTATATCCTTTTCTAATAAACCAGAAGTCTAGGAAGTAAGCAGTTTTCCTGATGTCTGTGAGCTGCCTAGCACATTAATTGAACCCAAGGAGGAGGGGTTGTGGGAACCTCTGAATTTGTAGCTGATAGGTCAGAAGCACAGGTGACAACCTGGACTTGTGATTGGCACCTACACTGCCACGTGGTCCTGTGGGACTGAGCCTGTAACCTGTGGGATGGGATGCTTATCCCTAACGCAGATGGTATCAGGATTGAGTTAAATTGTAGGACACTTAGCGGGTGTCACAGAATTGCTTCGCATGGGAAAGCTGCTGCACATCTGGTGTCCTAAGTACAGGATCACAGCAGTAAAATGTTGAAAATAAAGAAGACACGCAGGAGTATCTTTCCTTTATACAGATTGCTAGTGAGGATCTTGGCTAACAAGAGATAACACAGTCTTAGGCTACTACTTACTACTTAAATTTGAATGCTATACGAAAATGTTTGCCAATGAAATAAGATGTCTAGAATTTCCTTCAAAAACTTTATGGGGCAGGGGTGAGTGGTGGGGCATTTTAGAAGCAACGAGATAGGCTCTGTGCTAATCGTTGAAGTTGGGTTTGGTACGTGGTGTGTCAAGTTACAAATGGCTTCTTTCCTTCCTCTCTCCTGTTCTATGACCCTTAAAACCCTGTCTTCTCTGCCTAAGTGGAACACTAAAAATTAAATCCTATTCTATGCAAAGCAAGCAACTTAATTCTTTTTTGCTGCAACTTCTCATCGGCCTACTCTGGAAGTATCTACTGTTTTATAACCAAACATACTCGTTCATACTGTTTTTCAGAATACAAACAGTTCTAACTTCATGAAGAATTCTGCCTTCATCCCAGTCCATCTGGATCATGCAGTCAGCTTTTGATATCACTGTGTTTCCTCTGCCCCAGAACTCCAAAATTTGTTTTACCTTAAAGCAGAAGTCATGACTTCTATTTTCATAGATATTTCCTATGACTCAGGAAAGGGATCTCCATCTCTCTAGAAACTTAGATCAGGAGAGGTCCAGCTTTGAGATTTGACTCTTGATTGTTTCTGGTTTAGAGCAGGAGCATAGAACTATCACTAATCTCCTAAAATGTTTATTTTTTTACGTATTTCTCTTTCTTTAAACTCCTCTTATTCCTTTTACCAGAATTCTGGCAAGTAACATGTTGACTCACTATGTTTTACCACTTCCTTTCTCTGGCTCACTTCCAGTAGAGATGCTAATGAGTTGTCAAGTGGCCTGTGGGCAGGACAAACTAAAGGGCCTTCCCTGCTGCAAAAACTGGATCATCTGGGTGTTAATAATCTGGAACTGGCCGGGACCAACTACTGAGACAGAGTTAGGGTGGCTGAGATGGTATCTACTGCCTTCCAGCATGGAATCACCCCTTCTTTGTTTCCTTTGAAGTCCAGATCTGTGCAGCCCATCCAGGTGTATGCAGGGGTACGTCGCGGAGGCCTTCATCTCAGCCATGTTAGAGGGATATTGAAAACAACTTGTGGGACAGCTAAGTCTGGCTTCCTCATCTTAGAGAGGAGGCATTTGCTTGGGAACATTTAGGCAAATGGCTTCTCTCCTTCCCCACATCTCTTCAAGGGCCAGAATGTCAGTCTGATAGAAAATTATTGAGGTAAATTAGTTGAGTTGGATAGAAGGCAATAGAGCACTCTGCAACCAAGTGTATGTGGCTGCTACCTGGACGTGCTTCATCCCGCTCTGCTTTGATCTTGTGCTTGATGAAGAGGCAGCTTCCCAGTGAGGGCTTTACCCACCGGCCCCTCACCGTCTGAGCCCACTAATGCCCAGGAGCCTGATCACTGGGTACCACTGACCCTAGGCAAACATTTTCCTTCCCTGGGGGTCCTTACTTTTCTAGTCCAGAAAATGGGGTGGGACGGGATGATCTCTAAGATCCTTTTTAGTGCTAATTGCTTTGCAAATGGTCTAATGCTTCTTGCACTGATTATTAAAGTTTCTAGAGACCATGCAGTACTCAAAGCTAGACTCTTTCAGGAAGAGGGAAATAGTCATTCTTTTACATTGCTAGTGTGGTAACTTTTCTGGATGATGTGTTTATGATATATATCAGAAGACATAAAAACAATGCTATCTCTTTGACCTAGCCATTCCATTTTTAAGAATTTATTCTAAGAATATAAGAACAAATGTGTTCGGTGATAGAACAACAAACATGTTGGTTTCAGCACTGTTTGCAAGAATGAGCCACTGAAAGCAGTTTAAATGTCCTACCTAGTGAATTTGATTGAATAATCTGAGGTGTATACATATTATGTGATGTTGTGTGGCCATTTAAAGAAATGTTTAAAAGTTCACTTACTGACATGGATAAATGCTCATACTGTTGAGTGAACAACAACTTCTAAGCATCATTTTTTGTTATTATTGTCTTCTAAAATGGTCTATTATTTCTATCTACATGCTTAGCCTCTAATCTACAAGAGTGCACATGAAAATTCTCAGAATTATGCCTTGTGGTAGGATTATGAATACTCTTGATCCCCTTATCTGTGTTTTCAATTTTTCTACAGCGATGATGTATTACTTGTGTACATACATTAATGCACACATGCACGATCACATACATGCCTACATCTCAACTCAGAGAAGTAGCACAAAATTTAAATGATAAATTGGGACACCCTGCCCTCTGTACCCATTGACATAAATGTCCTCCCTGTGCAGGCTAGATGGGGACAGCAGGATGCTCCACTTTTACAGAGAGGGAAAGAGGCAGAGACTGGACACTGGAGGACCCCTAACCCCTCTCTCATTTCTGGCTCGGATGACCAACCATCCCAGTTTTCCTGGGACTAAGGGACTTGCCAGGATGCAAGACTTTCAGTGCCACACCAGGGAAGCCCCAGGCAGACTGGGGCAAGTGGGTCACCCAATTCCTGGCAGACGTGGGAAGAATAGCTAGTAGTTACGCAGTATACGGAGGTACCTTTCTGACTCACTCTGTGGCGGGTACTTACCTAACTGTTGCTGGCCGGGAGAGGCCGTGAGCTCAGCAGGGTGGGGTCAGCATTCGAAGGAGGCTTTCTTGACCCTGAAGAAAGTAGAGTCCATTCCAGGTGACATCTTCTCTTTGCTGCATTTATTCCAGTGCATTTGTTCTATGTCTGAGTCTCTGCAAGTGAGATGAAATGAAGTGTTATGGGAATAATTCAGGCCAAATTAGCCATTCAATGGCTTAATTTCCCATTTCAGTTTTTGTTAAACATTGGACTAATTAATGTTACAGAGGTTGCATTTATTGTATCCCATTTGCTCAGCTGCTAAAGCTCTTGACTACCTTTTTCTGAAGTAAAAGAGGAAACGGATCAGTTGTGGGGATCAGCAAACCACAGCTGGTGTGAAAAGGAAATTGACATGTGACAAAATGGGGTCTGTGTCAACCTCTGGGTAATTAACACTGAACATCTCTCTCTGTGTTGCAGATGCACATATATGTTGGTGGTGGGTGAGATGGTGCAGGGGAACCACGCCAATTCATCCAGTAGAAGTGATGGTCCTGTGTTGCTGCTTGTCACCCTTTATTGGAAGGCAGCACACCTTTCCTACCAGCTGAGTCAGGAGATTTTCTCAGGGGTGATTTCGGGGAATCTTCCTCCTTGCTCGCATTCGCGTCATCCCCTTTGGACCTTAGTGGGCTGGCGTGCTCTGTCAGGGATGTGTAAGGGTGAATGTGTGCACAAAACAGACTGAGCACATTCCCCGACCAGGTCATGCAGGTGAGTTAGCAAGCGTTCCTTCTGTCTTCCACACTGAAGTGCAAATTTACATTCTTGCCTAGCAGCACAGAACCAGCCCCTGGAGTAGAGGGGAGTGACCCAGACTTAGGACTGAATTGCAGCTCAGCCACTTCCTGCGTGATATTTGGCAACTATTTAACATCACTAAGTGTCAGGTTCCTCAAGTGAATAATGGGAATAATGTACTTCTACTTCATCCTCATTTGTCTTCTGCTCCTCTGAGTCTGTCTAACCTGTGTTCCTTTGTTGCCTGAAAAACAGAGAGTAAAGTTGATCCAGAGAGGGCATTCCAGATGATTCTCATCTGCCGGCACAGTGTCCTCAGGCCTGGAGCCTGGATCTTACCCCATAGGCAACTTGAGATTCATTTTTCTTTTCGGACAGACTGATAGAGGGTTGGGAAAGTATGTTCCGTGGGCCACTGGTGCATCACTGGTCCTCCAGGTGTTGTAAACCCAAAGGCGAGAAAGTGCTCATGTTTGTCTGAGAGGAAGAAATGTGGAAGGTCCCACTGACTCTGGGTGAGGACCCTCGCTTCTACTTTAGCCCTCAGGAAGATCAGATTTTTTTCTCCTAGTCAGCACCTCAGTCTTACCAAGAGCCCATATCTAATCCTGTGCTGTTCCCTTGCCTTTTCTTCCCTAGCCACATAAATGCATGGTTTCTGTAGCTGAAGCAATCCCTCCTGCTTTTGTTGTTTTACACCATTAGGAAAAATAGGGGAATCAGGTAGGAGAGTCCACTTAGCTTTTTGGTGAGGGAATAAGAGGTGGGGTGACATGGGCTTGGGTGCATTTTGCCAGTGAGAACGCAAATAAGATCCAGAGGAGGATGACGTGAATGTGAGCAATGAGATTCCCTGAAGCCACCCAAGGGAACATCTCCTGACGTGACTGGCAGAAAAGAGGGTGTGCTGCTCCAAAAAGAAGGATGACTGGCAGCCAGATGGGGTCATAACTTGCATGGTGTTTTGAATGAGCATCAGTCACTCTTCATCACATTTCCCTTCTGCGTATGTGTCTGTGTGCAGCACAGATCTGCGTACATTAAGGAATCAGTAATGAAAGTCCCATGTTAGTAAGCAAGCCTAATCCAGGGGCCCAGGACACTTGTATGACCCAGTTATCCAGAACTCAAATGCTTCATCCTCTGCCATGTATAAGAGAAAGGAAAAGTGGGTGGTGGAGCAAAGAGAGGACAGGGGAGGTAAGCTCAAGTGTTATTTTGTGGGTGGAGGGGCACAATGGTGCCATATTTTAGAAAACAATTTGCACAAGTGTACAAGCCTTTAAAAGTTCTCATTCATCTATACAATAATTCTCATTCTAAGAATCCAGCCAAAGGAAATAATCAATAAGGCAGATGAGCACATCTATGTTAAGGATACCCACTGTGTGTATCATTATATGTCACAGTAAAATATTAGGGGAAAGGTGATATGACCAATGATGGGAAATATTTAAATATGTTTAAGTACATCTTTATGATGGAATTATGCAACGAGTGAAGAGGATGTGTGAGATGTGCTCATTTTCTAAATTGAAAGTAGTACATGCATGCTGTTTAAAAGTTTGAATAGTGCAAAAGAGAGGAAAAAAGGTCTCCCTGTCACCTCAGACCCAAATCCTTGTCTGTAGAGATGACTGCTGTCATCGGTTCTAGATTGTACTTAAGAAAAGAAAGAAAGAAGAAAATGATTCCAAAGTAATGGTGAGAGGAAGAAACATACAGATAGCATTTTTTCTATTTTTTTTTTTAGAGATTGTTTTTTCTAATTTTCTTTATGTTGCTTCCTAATAATCAGCATGTAGGGACCCAACAATTGCATTCGAGTTCAGAATTCAGTGAAAAGCCCAAATGATCCTTTTTAAAATAAATTTTTTCAAAAGTCAAAGCTTTTTAGATGTACACATAGATGTTCCCCATCCTCTCCTCTTGTGTAAATTTCAAATAATACTATAGGCCAATATGTTTTTGTTCTATACTCAGAATGTGCTTTTGAATACCTGGAAAATGAATTTTATTTTTCTACCAGTCTTTCTCTGTCATCTCACTAAATCAACACACACAAGAAACCTTGAAAGCACCACGAGAAAATTAGAGTCCTTGCTGTTAATTGGTGATCTTGTCCTCAAATAAAAATGTTCCTCCTATTTTGCATTTGAGTGCCAAACACTGAAGTTTGAACTTTGCCTTTCTATAAATGAACCCATCCGGGAAAATAAATTTGACACTGGTTCTTAGGTCAAGGTCGAATGTTATGAGATTTTTCAAAAGAATCCCAAGGGAAAATATTTGTCTGGTTTGTATTTGATAGCACTTAGGAACAAACTCTCCAAGTTCTTTTAAATGTACAGTTGAGAGTCAAATGCGGAATTCTGAAATTACAATGGTATTTCAGAATCCACACACAGGTCTTAAAGAGGCATACATTACTAAAGACCCCTAAAAGGACTCAGTAGTAAAAGTGTTGGAAAGAGTTCTCTGCACTTGTGTCTGTGTTTCAATGATGAGATTCCCATGGTGTTGTGAAAACCCTTACGGGAGAGAGTTTGGAAGAGTATCTCCTCGGCTGCTCATTCTGTTCAGGGTCTTCCTGTCTAGCCCAGGACACCTGTGGCCAGTGGGCAAGTGTACCCGAGTCTGGGCTGGAACAAGCAAGTACCTACTTATATCCATGCACTGATTAATTGGTCAAGTAGGTCATGATGTTAGTAATTACTTGAACTAGGATTTGTTCTTGCTGTGAACAAATAGATACGGGACTTCAGATGACTTGGCACCAAATGAGCGATTTTTTTTTCCTGCAGTCTTTCCCACACTTACCACCTTATTAGGATAAATGTGACCACTGTGAGCTGGTAGTGCTCGGAGCACTGAGGAACTAGGGCTGTGGGCAGCGGTCTGCCACTAGGGCTCGATTCAGATTTTTACTTCCATATTTTTTGTTGGGAGATCTGGTGACTTACATGTTTATGGATGTATTTATATTATAGATGTATAAATGAGTGTGCTAGGGCTATCGCAACAAGGTAACATAAAGTGAGTGGCTTAAACAACAGAAGTTTATTTTTGGTAGTCCTGGAGATTAGAAGTGCAAGTTCATGGTGTCAGCTGCATTGGCTGAGGGGCCCTGTCCAGATCTCCCCCCTGGCTTCTGGTGGCTTGTATGCAGCCACTCTTTGGCTTGTAGATGCGTCCTTCCAGTCTCTTCCTTCATGTTCTCTGTTTGTCTGTCTCCAGAATTTCTCCTTTTAATGAGAACACCAGTCATATCAGATTAGGGTCCCACCCTATTTCAGCGTGACCTCGTCTTAACTAATTACATCTTCAACACCCTATTTCCAAGTAAGGTCACATTCTGAGGTACGGGGGTTAGGACTTCAACAAATGAATTTTTTTTTCAACAAATGAATTTTTAAGGGACATGATTCAACTCCTAACAACTATATAAAGGGATATGTGCACACATGTATGTATGTCTAACATTTTCTGAGGGAAGATAAGCACAGAGAAGGCCAGTTTGGAAACTGATGGCATTTTACTTGATGAATGGAGTCTTGCATGATGGAGGATTACTTGAATCCTATAGCATTGCTGTGAAGAATGTGTGTGGGTTGCCCATTATGGCAGCTACTCAGTATACACACTTGTGGTATTGCCTCTGAAGTTGTTAATAGAATGATGTTTCATGTATCAAATCTTTCTTGGCAAGAATAAAAATAAAAATTAACAACTGTCTATGCATGCAACTTGCATGTGGGCCATTTGAAAAGAGTGTGAGATGTGGTTTATGATTTCACAAAATTTTTTCTGTTTTCAAGGTCATTAGCCTCATCTACTTCTTCATTTTGGTTTAGCAATGTATTTACTCCAACTACTTTAGTTTCAGCTTGGGCAGTTGTGCGGGGCAGATGCTGGTGACCTGGTTCTGTGTATGACAGGATCAGATAATCTAGAACTTGACGGTGTCTACAGCCTTGCGGTGGCTGAGAAAATAACCTCACGTGTACTTCAGGTCGCCCTCGTCCCGGCAGTGACGGGGTGTGCACATAGGTAACAGTGGTAGTTCTGGGACGTCCCCTGTTAGTTCTGAAGATTCCTGATCTCATCTGTGCATTCGAGTCCCTCTCAGAGAAACTGAAGGGTACTGAGTAGCCTTTACAAGTTTCCTGGTACCAAAACTTCAGAGGACAGATTGGGATTAACCTCTCACCAGGGGTCAGGAAAATATCACATCAGCCCAAGTGAGCAAAGCCCACATTTAAGGCAATAGAACAGAAGCTCTTGAGTGTTCCAGAGAGCGGTATCTGCCAGAATAGGTTTGCTGAGTGTGGGGCACACATACAAGAACACCGAGGGACTACAAAATGAAACGGCACAGCATCTATATGAATAATGTTTGTAAACCAAGTTAAGGCTTTAATCATATTTTTTTTTTCAAAGAGAGAAGAGGTTGTTCTGAATTTTAAGGGAGAGTGCTGATGTATTTTAACTGTTATTCAAATGTGG